TTTTTTTTTTTGTTTTTTTATTGAAATCTCTTTATTATTGCTGTTGGTGATATTTTCTATTTTTGTTTTTATCCCATAAATCCTTTCCCTAAAAAGGAAGACAAAAATGCATAAACGAGTAAATGAGTGAACGAAAGGCAATAACGTGAAGACAAGTGAACAATCGTCACAACACTCCCTCAAGTCGATTTCATTCTCATCAATCCAATGAAATTTTACCACATATTTTAAGTTAAGGCGTCTTCCCCTCACTTTTAGCATATAAGTCACTAAAACATCATATTCATCGAGAAAGACAATAACCAAAACGAAATAACAAAAATACAAAGAAAAGCCGAATAGATCAATATCTGCCTCAACCAACAACCAGTATCAAGTTTAACAGATATCGAAAGTGTTATGAAATCTGATTAACTATTATAGGATACGGGGACCGAAAACCTGAAATCCGTTTCCGCAACGCAATTCGCAATCACGATAATAACAAAATAATTGCGAAACAAGCAATCAACACAGAGAGAAAGAAAGTGAGAGCAGGTAAGTGAATAAACTTAAAAATTATCCAAATTTTTTCATGTCAGGACCGTTGAAACATCCCAATTCAATCATTAATGCGAAATGCCAAAGGCCCCATAATACCATATTTTTCAATATCGTGTGTCTACGCGTATCGATCTTCACAAACAAGTGCTATTTACATGCGGACTTACTCTTTACATATGCTATACTATATTGTCTTCATTTTAACATGATCTTGACTACCTATTTTAATTGAAAGCGCGTGCACAATAATAGCAAACATGGGCGGCGTTTATAGTGAATTGGAAAAAGTAAGCTTCATACAACCGAAACGGCCTCTCTCCACTGCCCACTGCCCTGGGCAATGAAATCCCAAAAGCAGACGGATATCTAAACTTTATGCACTTTTACAAATTCTTTTTACACTACACCTTACCTTTGCACCCATTTACATTGTTTCGCTTTTAGACATTTTTCAAAATACGCGTGCCTATCTCCCGAATTAGATAATTGCAATTGGGCATGAATTTCGAATTAATTGGATGGGCAAAGTTCATGAGCTGCGCACATACTTTTATAATGATTCGAACGCCACGCAACTATAAATGAATAAGATTACAAGGTTACAAGAACGATGCTAAAATTGGAAATTTTTTCAAGGCTGAATGTTTTCCGAATATTCTTTCGATTAAATTCTAGATCAAAGAATTATGAATGCTTGAAATAATTCGCAATCTTGGATTTGGTTAAGTGTTTTCGAAAACAATAACAAAGTTAAATATCTACGCGGGAAATGTATGGACAAGGGGTGATAAAAGTACTTCAACTATAAAAGAAATAATAAAATAATAATGAAATTGTTGGCACGAAAGGGAATTCATAATTTTTTTTTTTTTTTCTTTAATGACCCACTTTTAAGATGAACATCAAAAAGGACAAGAAGTTTTTATGCCATATTTTACGATTTCATCTACTTACCTTTTTACTTCGTCTGTCTTGAAGAACAAAAATTTAGTAAAATATAGTGAAGTGTAATAGGTGTGTGAGAAATCAATGGGGGAAAATAAAATTGGTTTGTATTTATGATAAGAGGAACGAATATGTTTCCAAAAGCTGGCTATAGCCTATATACGCGCAAATATACATACATATTGCTCAACTAACGGTAGAGCCTAGGTAAAGATGATTAATTCAACGGAAAACGCTAATAAATAAATTGAAAACACGAAACAATCTAATGTTGTATGTATGTGATACATGCTAATTAAATATGGTAAGCGCAATCGTACTGTATAGTGGAAAATTGAATTTAAAACACTTAATTGAATATCCTCATCTTAGCGAGACTCTATATCAATCGATAATAAAATCATTCGTTCCCTTATAAGAGTACACTACAATACTTACAGATATTTGCGGAACAAAACACTGGTATCTTGAATACTTCATTAATGAAAGAGAATAGATTCAACATTGACAAGTAGCTCATAACCGAAATTTAAAAAAAAATATAAAAAAAAAATTTGGCGCCTTAGCAAAGATTTATCAAATTAGCTCCGTTATGCTCGCGAAGTGAAATTTGGAATATGTAGACAAAAATAGACTCCTCTTTGGCTTTCTTTTCAACCTCAACATGTATGAACTTAAAGTAACCAATGACTAGTGTTTTTATACGTACTTTAAGTTGAAAGGATAAACAAACTAATATTAGCGAAGAATAAACTAATAAATGATACCCCGTTTGTTAGATGACAGTAACACGTCGCTGCTTTATGTTTTTACAATCTCGTGTGCTTTGAAATTAATATAACGTTTCCGGCTATGCTATATTATCTATATTTCCTGTATATATTGATTTACAAATTTTTCTGTATCTTATCTCGGGCTCGGCGGGAATATAAACAGATCTTTTAAGCGAAGATCATTTAAATTAACAGGTTAACAACTTCAATGAGAGGATCAAGTAATTGCTATAACGAGTTAATCCCTTAATTGAAAGTTAACGGTTCGATGTGACAATTCCAAACAGATAGGCCTCGACATACGTACGGTACGGTATTATAAAGCTCTGATTCATCGTTGCGTTGATGTACGCGTGCCAAAACTGCGCGCAAACTGCCCATATTGTAACCGGTTGAAGAACTGGTCGACGGTGCTATATTACGACTATTTTTATTGCATTTAGATGAGTGTGTAGCTGCTGCAGTAACAAATATAAAATATTTGAAATATTATGAACAGAAGCCACACTTACGTTCGACAATACCCTGCTTTATCCAGCTTGTCATTTCGACTTCACTATCTATTCAATCTATTTGCAGTGATAAAAACACCCTACATACACGTGACAACTTCGAATGAGAAGGTCTTTAAAGAATTCCTCATTGGTCGGTTTTCGGTCAACTGTTTTCTTCCAGTGTGGTAACCAATAGTCAAAAAATGTAGACATATGCATCTTCATTCTTGGTAAACTCTTGTCTGCAATCATGAGGCAAAGTTGAAGTAACTATGTCGACGGTAATTTCTGTATCCAACATGCCTGGATTTATCACACAAACTCCATCCGTGATACTGACTTTGACGTATCCATGCTCTATGTTTTCTCGATAATAATAATACAAACGCCATGGGCTTTGCAATGAACTGGCGCGAGTGAACTCTTGACAAATATTAATTTCTTCCCAATAAAAATGATCTAAACGCTAATGGGAAAACATTATTCTAAACAATGTCAAAATTATCTCAAATATTCATTTACAAACCTCATCCACTATTAGTATACAAGGGATATACCTATGCTTTTTATCATCGCCATTCTTAGTAAGGTCTACGACTGCTTTAGATGGTGGAAAAAAATGTCACGATCTTTCAATTCAAAGCGGAATCACTCACCAGTTTGTTGTTGCTGTTGCTCTCGTATCTGCTCTAATAAACCGAAAGCCTTTGCTCGCTGCATAAAGTGTTCAATTTGATTATTCATCAACGAATGGGCATTTAAAGCAGCCAACGACAACAAGACACGTGATTGATCGTTCCATTGATATTGATCACAAAATGTATCAATATTCCGCCAAAGTTTATGCATATTGTTACCGGCAGTAAAAAAAGTATGTGTATCCCCGTGAATAGAAAACTAAAGGGAAATAGAAAACATCTTAAATCGGCCACTGCTAGCTGCGGCGATTTTAATGGTGAAATAATCAATGTTTTCTTGCCAATAACAACTCCACTTACTGCTATGAAATTATTCAGTTCGTCTAACAATTTCAAATAAAGTTGTTTACCTTCGACCGTGCTCCATTTTTTATGACCTCCTTGAACGCACTGTTTAAAGCGATCGACTACGCAAGCAAATTTGTTGAAAAGCTCCTTTTGATCCCCACCAGTAACACGTAAACATATTGGCTTCGGATAATCACATGTGCGTATATGACGTAAGATTGTTACGTAAATGGCAGCGACACTTTCATGGATCTTTGAATGTTTTGAATAAGTCGACAAGGTATTAAAACCTTTGCAGAGCTGCAATATAGTCCATTCTGCAAAAAAGTTTTCTTAATTTTTCTGTTGCATTACATATTTTACCCATCTGAATGCACCTTCGGGCATTTGCTTGCATATATCCTGTATCCGTTTTATACCTTCTCTTGGATCGGAAATATCTCTGAAAATATCATCACAAGGATCGAAAGAGTTCACCTTTTCTTTTGGACTTTCCTTAAACGTCTTCTAGGCGTACTGAATTAAAGCATTACTGACCAATCACATTAGATATAAATGTAGTGCAGCTATAATAAAAAAGAATATGAAATCTTTTGCGGCGAACTAACTTGGGCAAATCAAATTCCTCATCGCCGTTCATTTGCGCCAAAAGCCCATCAACATTTATTGTTTTAAATTTTGAATCATCTTTTGTAAAATGCACTGGCGATGCGATAACATTCCTGAGCGGATTGACAAAGTGACCGAATCTGATCGAAAATTGAGTGTTCCAAATTTCCGCTATTGAATTCATTTTCAGCCAACTGCAGCAGTATTTCTATTTAAAAAAAAATGATTGACAATTGTTGGCTGCACAAAAGTATAATTCGAAACCTCTAGCATTAGGACCAATATTTGTAGAAACGCCATTCTTATTAACATAATCGATAATTTCCTGAAGCATTATATTCAATCTGCACCTGCTAGCAATTCCTACAATTGCTAACAAATATTAAACTTGCAGCACATGCGAAAGTACGATCACTATATTATTGTTTTATCAATTTCTATCAACTATCTTCAAATTGAGATGGCGCCGTGTAGAGCTGCCAAGTATGCTGTGATTCAATAATTTTAACATATATGATTGCTATTAATTACGTATTGCAGATACCTATTTCCAAATATTGCCATATTTAAAATATTAAAAGATTTTTACCATATTTCTAACTTGAAAGTTGAAAGAACTTTTTCAATATTAATTATTTTTAATATACTATACATATGAACTAAGCCATAATAACAGTTTTTGAACTTAAACTAAACAGATTTGCAATTTTTTTTTGTAACAAATAGGCCTCAATTGCTGCATGGTTATGAAAGATGGCGAACTCAAAAGTTTTAATCGCCGTTTAGTGTCGTATGCTGATCGATAAGAATTTGTAATCCTTCCCTTGTCACGAATAATTGTGCAAACTGACATACCTACATACATATCCACTTGTTGCTTACTCCCACAACAAATGGTTGAATACAAGAAATTGCAATTATGACTTAAACTTCTGCGTTTATCCACGCTATTCTTTCTAAATTTAATGATTTAGTTTATACATTATTGTCTACTCATTTATTTTTTTTATACAAATTTCAGTTTGTTCTCTTGCAATCATATGTTTCTGAAATATTTGGCTTGTATTTATTCACTCTTGCTCTTGCTCTTGCTAGTAGAACTTTTGAGTTCTCTCACGACGTTATATGCTTTTAACAGAAAAATATTTATATATTGGATGTCCGAGTTTTTTTTTTGCCACTAGATGGTGCTGATGCCTATATGTCTGGCAACACTCACTGTGCTTAAAAGTGGCATTACAGTTTACATATTTTGTTCATATAGGTTTCTAATTCTTCGCTCGCATAAGAAGTTATATTGATCTGAAAGTGCGTTAAATATCTGAAGAAATGCGTTATATGATGCTTTTTATTATAAAAAAGGTAAAAATACTGGAAAAATATGCTGAAAAATTTTTGAAGTATATGTTGAGTATGCTTTGAGTGAACGAATGACCCTGGAAATTTCGATGTCACAGATGCACCTCGCTCTGGTCGGCCATTCACTGAGAAAATCGATGAAACTTTGTAATTGAGCAAGACCGGCAAGCAAGCTGACTTGAAATAGCGGAGGGACTAAACATCAGCCACATCACAATTTGCAATCATTTGAAAAGAGCAGGCTACAGCAAGCCGTTTTTGTGCCACATGAATTAACGCAAAGAAATTTGATTGACCGAATTGTCATCAGTGAAATGCTGTTGAAACGTAACGAAATCGAATCGTTTTTAAAACGAATCATTATGGGCGATGAAAAATGAGTGAATTAAGAAAATATCAAACGCAAGCGATCATGGTCAAAGGTTGGTGACCGTCGACAAACAACATCAAAGCCTGGACTGTCGGCAAACAAGGATATGTTGAGCGTTTGGTGGGATTGAAAGAATGTTGTCCATTACGAGCAGCTACAACGTGGTGAAACCATCAATTCAGCTCTGTACTGTACGCAAGTCGACCATTTGAACCAAGAAGCTCTACACCGATGGAGTTTTGAAGCTAACCGAAAAATAACAGAAGGTCATAGATAATAATGGTTGATATGTATTTGATTAAAATTGATTTTCAATGGAGAGGATTTTTCCTCAAAAATGTACGAAAAAAGTGCGGAAACTTCTTATATGGCCCAAGTAAATAAATAGATTATTAAATATAAAAAATTTTCGTATTTGGTTCTTATATCGAATGCTGACGATAATCTATCAGATATTTGTAAGCTATTCCTGAAATTTAAATCAGTTATTGAAGCAATTAGTGGAGAAGTCCATTAGCATACAGTGAAACATAAGCGAAGCCAGCAGGTATAACAAAATCCCTTAAAGTCTAGTTATTCGGGGCATTTTTAATTAAAATAGAAATAAATTATGTTTAAGAGATATATTCTCCCTATAAGTTTCTAGAGTACTCATCTAAAACAAAATAACTAAAAACAAGTTAAACCGGTATAGTCAAGCAAGACCGATCATTAAATACTCTAAACTAATACTTTCATCATTCACATTCATCATTACATCTTCTTGCTATATATGTATAATATTTTTATTTATTTTTGTTGAATGTTGAGTTTAAATAGACTAAGTCAGTAAGAAATGTACCTTACATGTCTACATTTTTTTTAATTAATTGAAAAATTGAGCGATTATTTTCTATATATATGTATGTATATATTCTTCCCCCTTAAGATGGTGAGGTCAATACGTTGAGTGTTTATGCGGACTTATGTATAACGCCAAGATTGGCCTCAGATAGAACCATCTTTTATTATAACGATCCAAGCTTGTCCATCCAACGGCCTGATCCTTGTATTAGTGTGTTTAGCCTACAGATTTTACAATTTTAAGATATTTTGGTGAAATTAATACGCTAACGTGCTTCGACTCAAGCGCGAACGCGGTTGCAAATGGTTGAGATCAGTCTATTTTTTCAACCACTTTCCGTATAAGATCTTATATTTAAAAGTCGTTATTTGGGTGAAATTTGCAATTTTCAAGATTTCTCTTTAAAACGTGATATAATAAAAAAAAGGTATAATATTGAATATTTCAAGGTGAAAGTGTCATACAATAATAAAATTAACAAGAAATCATGCTTACCGAATTTAGACGAGATAGTCCAATTTTTTGGAATACTGGCGCACATAAGGATTCTAATGCTAAAACGGCCTAATTTATACTAAATTTGAAAAATAAATACTTCTCTGCCATTGAACTGCAAAAATGGCTTTGATTTTTGTCCGCCAAGAACAGTTATACATACATATGCATATGTTCAACTATTAATCTGAACAAATTTTCATTATAATATATTAAAAATTCAAGCTTATTGTCATGAAATTTGTTTATTTATTTATGATTTTTCTTTTATTGTTTGTAAATAGTGTTTCTTCGAAAGCAGATTCTAACCCCTACAAATTTTTCATAATCCTTTCGTAGGGGAAATGTCAAATATTTGTTATGTCACAACGATCGTAAAAGATGTCTTCAGTGTTTAGTAGAATTCATTCTTGGGCA